GTGTTAAATTCGTTTACAGCATACCGATAATTATGTTACAGTAGTCACTCTACTCTGATGAACACATGTTGTTGGAATCACTGTGTTAAATTCGTTTACAGCATACCGATAATTATGTTACAGTAGTCACTCTACTCTGATGAACACATGTTGTTGGAATCACTGTGTTAAATGTGTTTATAGCATACTGATAATTATGTTACAGTAGTTACTTTACTCTGATAAACACATGTTGTTGGAATCACTGTGTTAAATTCGTTTACAGCATACTGATAATTATGTTACAGTAGTCACTCTACTCTGATGAACACATGTTGTTGGAATCACTGTGTTAAATGTGTTTACAGCATACTGATAATTATGTTACAGTAGTCACTCTACTCTGATGAACACATGTTGTTGGAATCACTATGCATAATTCAGGTTGAACACAAAATCCAGTAAACTTTGGAAATAAGTAATAAAACGAAATTACTCCATTACTTTTCCTTTCAAAATCAAAGTACTTTCAGTGCAGAAGTACAATGTCTACCAGATTCGTCCCTGTGCAATTTCTAACAGTACCATTTAAATATCTACCTACACCATTACTATAGTACTTATTTAATCTATGTAACTAATCCAACTTTTATCAATATCATACAAAGCAACAAAAAATGACAGTATTACTAGTCTAGTACTATTACTGTACTAATTGTAATCTGCAGTAACAGAGACTAGACGTCTACAGCTAGTATTAATTTACTATGAACAGTAACAAGTACAGTCTAGCCTAGTAACTAAGGGCCTCACTGTTAACATTCTTATAACTAGTACTGTATACTGTTACTATTACTTAGAACAGATCTGGGCTTACTATGATCTTTTGCCATTCATAAATAATGAAAATGTAGTCATCATAATTTGGTTTGTTAGCCTAAAGTTTAAGTTTAAAAACCAATAAAGTCCAAAGATGTTTGTGGAAATCATTGTGAATTGTTTAATACCAATATAAACCGATGACACTACATATTTCACATATACTTACTTGTACATGCTAATTGCTATAGATCTATATATCAGTTTGATCAAGTCAAGTCTGGGTGGGTGTTTGGAGGGTCAGGGACTATCTAGAAGTAATACTGATAGAAGGTAGAATCCTGTACGGTTTTGGGTATTCACTGTCAAATGCTATGTTAATATTAAGAGATTAGAGCACATATAATGATATATGTAACCTAATCCATCTTCCCTCTTATCAAGGACATGTGCATGAATATTATATTATACTCTCTACAGGATTGACTGGTTCACTCGTTTAGTGATTTACTATTTAGTGCTAATTTCAGTTTGTCACTTCTCTTCGTTTGGTTATTATACACTCGCAAACAGTTCCATTGACAGCTCGTCACTTTTTCACCTGAATCATATTATCGAATGCGTATTTGACATAAAATGCCCTTTTTAAATACACTTTTGATAATCTACTCTAAGCGATATATCTCTATATCAAAATAACGTATTACCTTTAATTCGAATATGGCGCTAGAAGACACTGAAGATGATGTCATGCGCACTCCAGTATTTATAGACTGCGGTTGGTAACTTAACCGCAGTCTTGTTGCCCACATGTGGCAGAGCGGCATGTCTGCGGACTTACAACGCTAGAAACTAGGTTTCGATACCCGTGGTGGGTAGAGTACAAATAGCCCATTGTGTAGCTTGGTGCTTAACTACAAACAAACAATCGACCACGTTTGTGTATATGAAATACACATAAAAAGGAAAAACAGTTATAAAAACTCAAATGTTATCTGCATTACATTACATACAGAAATAAATTGTATTATGTTTTGGTAAAGCTTAATTTTATTTAATTTGCAAAACTGAAACCTTATTTTTCGTTTGTTTTTAATGAATCTGCTTGTTTTTATAAACCCGTCACCCGAGATTTCAGTTTAGTATTATTTGTGTTATTGAATTTCGCGTCTCTAATTTAGTAGTGATAGACCAGAAGGAAGGCAGCTAGCCAACACAACCCACCGCTAACTCTTGGGCTACTCTTTTTACCAACGAAAAAGTGGGATTGACCGTTATATTATGGCACCCCACGGCTAAAATAGTAAACACGTTAGGAGTTGATATTCAGACTTCTTCTAGAATTGTATTTGTGGTTATAGACGACGCTAATAATAACTAACTAAATTATTTTGAATGATAGCAAAGTTATAAAATGACTTTCACTAATCTTGCAGTAATCTTATATTATGTTGGAATTTATACAGTAAAGTTATTTCAAATAAAATAATTGGTGTTCAAAATAGATAATACTGTATTGTTAATATTTAGAAATCAGAATTAAGGTATTCACTTGCTTAATCTCCTTCACAATAGCCCCTCCCAGTGGCACAACGGTATGTCTGCGGACTTATACCGCTAGAAACCGGGTTTCGATACCTGTGGTGGGAAACGCACGAATAGCCCTTTGTGCTTAATAATAAACATCAATCTTCACAATATAATATTTGTTGTTCGTGAAGTTAATAATACAGTTAGCGCCTACACCATTACTTTATCGTATCCCACTCGGCCTGTTGAGCTCTGGTATTGTGCGAAAGGCCTCGTCGGTACTGGATATAGCAAATGTAGTATTTCCTACATATTATTACATAAATTCTTTTAAAAGAATTTAATAATCAATACAATTGAACTGGTTTGATCAAGCAAACTTTTTCACCAGAGGCATATATATATATATATATATATTGTTGCGTCATCGAGTCACATGACTACTGTGACGCCACGTTCTAGAACTATCCTGTACTTTGGCGACCCTCTATCCAGTAAATACTAGAGCATTAGACTGATATATATAAGAGGGGACAACGTGACGCGGTAATGTGTGTATAGACAGTGTGTAACTGATCTGCAGTCAGAAGTATTATTGACGTTCGTTGATATAGCGTTTGTTTTAGCGCGATTGTTGAAGTTGAGTGTATCGGTAAAGTTATATTCGGAAAGAATAAACCAGTTTTATAAGTAAAGACTTGTGTTGTTAAAATTTCGTCGGAACGAAGTTACGGAAAGTTAATTAAGAAACGGAGACGTAACAATATATTTCCTATAGCAATAATAATGAAAGCTACATATCAGTGGGTTGCCAATATCTTTTGTATATTTGACATTTGGTTTTCATCCGCATTTTTTTTTTCGTCTTCTGTTGAGAGTTGGGAGTTAATAATATTCTATATATATTGACAATTATTTAAAATAATTACTTTGTTTTCTTATGGTCATAAGTTTTAAGTGTAACATTATAATGCTGAATTTAATTAATCTATTAGTTTTATATTACCTAAGTCACAGCCTCCACCATGCAGTGGCTCAGAGGTAAGTCTGAGGGCCTATAATGCTAAAAATCTGATTTCGATACCCGCGGTAGGTAGAGTACAGCTAGCCAATTATTGCGCTTAACAAAAATCAAAGTTACATCCCTGCCGTCCTTTAACGGTATTAAAATGCATTGGCTAAACGCATTTTTATACGTACTGCTAGATTACTTATAGAGTTAACAATAGGTATGTAATAATTCGGCTGTTATCTCAAACAGTAATCTGTTTTTTCACTGCATGCTTTTTTATTTATATGTCTATATAATTTTTATTTCATTTTTACATATGGTTATTCAGATTTATTACAGATGTATATTTTTCTTGTTAATTAATATGCAGTAAGCTTGTTTGTTTATAAAATATAATATAAATAATCTGTACCACAATATAACATAACAAGCCGACAAAAAGGCACAATTTGGTCTTCTCGGGCTGCCTTTCAACCCATGAGAGAAAGAAAAAGCAACCATCGATCGGCCTGTAAAGTGATACCTTCCATTACTTGTGACAACATAGGCCAATCCTAATATTAGAAAAAAATCAAATTGTCTTAATAGAGATTAGCATGTTGATTCTGATCCTTAAACTTGTGTTCTCTCGTTCTGTTGTCTTCATATTGTTACGTCTCCGTTTGTTAATTAATTTTCCGTAACTTCGTTCCGACGAAACTTTAACGACACAAGTCTTTACTTAATAAAACTGGTTTATTCTTTCCGAATACAACTTTAACGATACACTCAACTTCAACAATCGCGCTAAACAAACGCAATAACAACGAACGTGCTCAATAATACTTCTGACTGCAGATCAATTACTCACTGTCTACACACACATTACCTTGTCACGTTGTCCCCCTCTTTTATATACCCGACTACCCTATATCTAGTAAGAACTAGAACATTCGCCAAAGTACAGGATAATTCTAGAAAGTAGAGGGCGTGAGAATCACATGATCTCGATGACGCAACAATATATAAAACAACGAAATCAAAGGCTTTTATCTTATTGATTTACCGGATAATCTTGTAAATTTCAACAATATCACCTCTTAGCTTTCTTTCCTCAAGAGAAAATAAGTTAAGGAACATTAATCTAGCCCTATAAGATAACCCTTTAATATTTTAAATCATCCTAGTAACCCTCCTCTGAACCCTTTCAAGAAAAAAAATAACATAAACGAAAACCAAATAAAAAATAACGAAATTACATTTTATAAAGTAATGATAAAAACTTAAAAAATATTTGAAAATTTTCCTTCATTTAAAGGTGATTTAAAGTTAACAATATGATATTCTGAGGTACACTTATAACCTCCAATAACTAGAGAAACGACAGAAAATGTATCGATTTAAGTGAATGTAAAATAATGTGAATAATCAATCTTTATTTTCGTATAATCTGTGTATGAAATTTATACTCTTCTAAATAAAGACAGTTCTAGCCAGAAGAAAATAAGAAGTTCTGGTCTGGACTGAGGGAAACAACCACTATACATTATTTATTACAATAGGGTCAATTCTACTAAGGTGCCCTTGTCACCCACGTCACTGAGTTAACTCATAAGTGAAAACAGTGATAATAAAAGCTCAATGTGTTCTTGAATCCGTACAAAACTAATGTTACCAGATAACACTAATATAAGACCAAATAATTATCTAACGATACATTTCACGATAATTTTCAGTAACACCAAAGGAAATGATCTAGGAAGATGTGTGACTAGTGTGATCATTTATCTTTAGGCCAGATTGGTCATTTTAACTTTAAATTCTGAAACGAATCAAGTAACCAGAAACAAATAAAACCTTTAACCAACTGTACAGTATATCCATAGTATTGTTGCGTCATCGAGATCACGTGACTGGTGTGGCGCCACCTATTTTCTAGAACTATCATGTACCTTGGCGAATGCTCTAGTATTTACTAGATATAGGGTAGTTGGTATATAAAAGAGGGTGACAACGTGACGGGATAATAATGTGTGTGTAGATAGTGAGTAATTGAACTGCAGTCACAGGGTATTGTTGAAGTTAACGTTCGTTCGTTATAGTGTTTGTTTTAGCGCGAATATTGAAAATAAGTGTATCGTAAAGTTGTATTCGGAAAGAATAAACCAGTTTTATTAAGTAAAGAACTTGTGTCGCTAAAGTTTCGTCGGAACGAAGTTACGGAAAGTTGATTAACAAACGGAGACGTAACAATACTTTTGTAATATTGTTGACGTCATCTTATTCGAAGCTTCTAAGCTTTCTCGTTCTGTGTAATACTGTTGTCACTAGAGGGCTAGATATTTCTAGATTTTTCTGTCGCGTGTTATAAATACATGTATATACAGAGTGCAAGGAATAAGTTAAAGCAAGTTAGTGAAAGTTAATTTAGTGAAAGTGAAGTTAGACTGTGTGATTGTTAGTTTAGCCATTACGGGTAATATCTAAAGTGCGTTTCACAGGGATATTGTAACAACAGAGACAAAGAATAATAATTTATCTTGTCAAAGTGTGTTTTAAAGTAATTGAACCTGCCTGTGTGGACTTTGACGAAAAGGAGACAATTATTTAAAGCTCTGTATACAACTGTGATAACCAATAGTGTAACGAATTTTTGTACACAAGTTTCACTTGTTTTGAATATATTCCTTTAAAACAAGTTGATCGTGTGCTGCCTGTTTGTTGTTGACATTTATCGCCAATAAATCACAGACACCTATTGTAAAGAATTCGGCCCCATAAAACTGACAAGTGTGCTAGTGAATTTGATGACTTTTACAGAAACTTTCAAATGATGAATGTAAAGAATGTACAGAAACTTTCAAATGATGAATGTAAAGAAGGTTTGATAATTAAATATACTGGTTGGCCAGTTTTTGTTTTCCTCAAAACATAATGGATATTTATCACAACTGTTTTGCAGCATCATAAAACAAATAATTCAAGTATCATTACAAGTCTCGACATAAAATGTATTCATATGATTTCTTTTAATAAAAACTGAGAAAT